CCCCCTCACCTCAACACATTTCAGCTATAAATTTAATTTCCTAACCCACTTACATTTCTCTTGAAGTCTCCTTGCTTGACTGCTAGACTCAAGTTTAATACAATCACTCCCATGTCATCTTCTAAACTGTTGGGATCCTCCAGTTTTAAAACCTGTTCAGTAGTTCTACAAGAATAAAAAAAAAAAAAAAAAGAAAAAAGAAAATGTGTGGATTTGTTGTCTTCGGTTAACTCGAGTTCATTCCTAAAGGTCACTCTGAGCTGTGCAAATTTCAGCCTCTTGTCTGAATTCCCAATATTGAGTTTAAATATGAAAGCAGGAAGTCTGAAGGGTTCGCTGACAGTCCCGACAAAACGCACAACCCTTTTAATAGCACGTCCTATCATGATGTTATTACGTTACCTGCATTTCTTCAGATGTGGGTACAAGCTGGAATAAGTTACTCCTGCCTCCATTTCTCAGGTAAGAAGAGTGACAGAAACTTATCCAAGTGAATTTTCTAATATTAATGGCTGAGATTTGACTCGGGATACGTATTCTACCTTACCTCCATGTGCATTTAATCTCCCTCTGTGACTCAGTTCCCTCTCTGAAAACGGTAATGCTGACATTTACTTGGTGGCACTATCTGACAGATAAATTCATTAATGTTTCTGGAAACACACAAACAACAGCCATGGGAGCTATAATACACCCTCACAGGGAGAACTCATTTTCTCAAAAAAAAAAAAAAAAAAAAGGAAAAAAAGAAGTCACACAGTGAGCGAGTATAAAAGAGAGAAATAAAACTTGAATTCCTGGCTTCCAGCTTCACATTCAGACCAAGCAGCAGTAGACAAAAGCGAAGGGCTTTGCCTCTGCACTAAATCAGGGCCAGATGCGGATGCAGCAGGGCTGGGTGGCTGCAGGGGGAGGATGGAATTGGGGGAGCTCGCCGGCAGCAAGGCAAACCACTCCCCAGTCAAATAATCTGCAGAAAAATGCACCCTGCTCTACAGGGGGCTCGTAAGGGGTTCTCAGCTTTCTACCCCCTTTCTTCTGCCATAAATCCACCTCCATAAATTATTCTGGCGCAGCTAGAAAAAGTAATCCCTGCATATAGAAACTCATTTCTAGGTACAAAAAGAGCAGCTTCTTCTGTCCAGGGCTCCATCCAGGTAGAACTGCAATCCAGTACATGATGCCAGATAAAACCACACCTATTCGGGATTTAGCTGAAGCTAATTTCTCATTTTTGAAACACGTTCCTCACCCTTCAATCGGAAAATGTTTCCACAAACAGATAAATTCCAAGCTATAGCATTTCACTGTTTTATCACGTCCCTCTAAAGTGCAATAACAACATTAATTAAATAATCATGTTACCTATTGAGTTCAAGTTCAGTGAGCACTACAGATGCCGAACCCATGAAGTCAGAAGAGGTTAAGTCTCGATCGTACACCTGGTGACAAAACAAAATTGATGTTTAGAATGTTCACATCACAAGGCAGTTTTATCCAGCTGATAGAAGAACAGATATTTTAAGGCTTTTCAGATCAAAGCTGAAATATAATTCAGGGCTAATTTTACATTTGCCTGCTTTAATTTGTATTTTTAGCTAAATATTTAAACAGCGTTTTCAAAGTATCATCTTAATGTTATGTAAACAAAGATGTGTGCTGCTACAGACTGTGCCTGTTCCTTTACGCTCTATGATGAAACGCTGCACAACATCAGGTAGTTCTTGCTACAGATGTTTTAGCAATTAGTGCTCACAACTGGTAGCCTGCAGTTCTGGTAACTGTAATGGTACTCATAATGAGAAAAGGCTTTGCTACTTGTCACGGTTGCATCCCAGGCAATAACTCTGTTCAATCCAGCCAAATTGCACTCTTAAAATGAGCGTATGAAACCACTATTGATTTCACCGAGTTTGCCCAAGCAAGGTAAGTTACAGCAGAATTGAGCTCTGTAGTCTTAAATATATCCACTCAAGGAATTTCATTTCAACTTGAATTTTCAGTGAATGAAAGCAAAACGTTCAAGTGAAATCTGGAAAAGACATACGTGCATTTTAATTTGAAATTGCTGAAACCCTTAAACCGGATCGTGTTTTACACGATGCTACTATGTGAATAAAATAATCGCTAGGTTTTTACAGCAGAAAACAATTGGCTTAGAAGGATATTTGTGTATCTTACACAGAATTAAAAACCAAGACTTACCTTGACCCAGAGTTTTTGATCGAGGGTCTGTACAGGCAGCACGACAGTCTCATCCCAAACTGGGTTTAGGTTCTTGTAGACTACCTTACTTTTGTATAGAGTTTTCCCATTCAGCTTGAATTTCACATACGGGTCACTTGTACCTGTGATAATTATAAGGAAATAGATCAGCACTGCCCCTGTGTAAACCCACAATCTGAAAATATAATTTAATAAAACCATACCTAACAACAACAATAAATAGTCTTTTAATATGCATTCACACGCATATATAGAAATTTCTCCTTTGTACAGGAAATCAATTGAACATCACCAGAAAGTTCTCTGAGAGCAGACAGCAACATCTTCATAGTTTATTTGATCTCTTCCTTATTATTCTTATGGAGTGTTAATTATTCTTCAGTATCTTTGTTAGTATTTTGAGTAAAGAGCAAACAAGGATGAAGAAATATTTACAGGCCAATTAGGAATACAGACAGTAAAAGAGAAAATGTGATCCTGAAACAATAAATAGCCAGACCAAAACTAAAAGGCATTATAACTCTGGATAGGAGTGCCAAGGACACCAGTAACAATAGCTAAAACACCCATCAGGATTTCATCACTGGTGTCATTCGCCCATTTGCTTAAATCCAAACTTGAAGTTCCGCTGAAAAAAATATTGACATTATTCACCAGCTCAGGATAGAACCACATGGAGAACAGATTCTGTAAAGAAAACCAACAATACTCAGGTAACCCGTTTTTTAATCCAAGCAGCACATCCTGCCATGGCAATAATGTCCCATATTTTTATGGAGCAGATGTCCATAGACAGACCATGAGGCTCGTGCCACTCGGCAGCGATAGACAGACTTGCAGCTGTCAGAGAAAAAAAGAGAAGAGGGAAACTACTATTATTATTAAACCAATGGTTTCTGCACTAACACCAATCACTATGCAAGACAACAAAAAAAAAAAAAAAAAAAAAAAAAAAAGAGGGAGTGAGGTATGGAAAATATTTAACTAGATGATTGATTTAGTAAGGCACACAGACTACAAAAAAATCACAATTGCCAATAAGCAAAAGAATAAAATTGAGGCGTAGCATCATTTGCAATTAACCGATCCCAAGTGCTGCTTATCTGTAATGTTCAATATTGCCTGCACTGTACTTTACATTTAGAATTCCATTCCCTTGCTAACAGTTCCATACCAGCTAACCCAACAGATGCCTCCACACCGGGCACTGCAAGCTGCCAGTGCAGCCACCACCACAAACACTTCATTTCAAAGTGATGCTGCCGGCACAACTTCAGACTCCACAGCTTCAAAAATAATCGCAACGTGTCCTCCCAGGTCACCAAAGTGCTACTGGTGATGAATGAGAAGATATGATCAATGCTATGTGAAGAAAGATGCAGCCTTGAGAAAAAATAGCTAAGCAACAGCATCTATTTTGGCACTCAGGGACGCAGTGGGCATGGTGGGAACGAGTGGATGGTTGAACCTGATGATCTTAGTGGGCTTTTCCAACCATAACGATCCTACGATACTATCTGGAAACAAATAGTAAATACCAAGAAGAATGGTATGTCTGGGAATATACAGAGTTATTTTTAAGAATTATAGAAAGTTTTTATTTTGCTTTCACTTCAAAAGCGATAAATCACAGAGCCCTGCCCAGTTCTGCACGTAAGGGGTGTTTCATTCACAGAAAGAAAATACTGATTGGATTTCAAATATTACCCACAAACAATTCTTTTTTTAAATAGTAACTGCTGAAATCAACTTTTCTGTTGGAAAAAACATCACACACAAATACAAACTTCTTTCCCTTCTCCTCTGAGACAGGATAGTAGCAAAGGGCTGATCTAAAGGCCAGGGAAGTCAGAGGTCAGCTTCTCATTGGTTTTAGTGGGTTAGGAGTAGACCTTCCACTCGGATACCTATCAAAACTATGATTGAAGTTCCACATAAAGCACACGGCTTAGAAACAGCACGCTTTACACAATGAATGGAAATAGTAAGATAAAACACAGCTCCGCTATGTGGGTAATGGCCCTCAGAGGATTTACGGGTTGAGAAATGACATCATTGAGCTCTGGGGTGTTAGCTTCTCCCAGCTCCAAAGATCCCAACTCCGTTCTGCTTTAAAAGGAAAAGAAAAGATGGGTAGGAAGAAACTGCATGCTCAAAAACAATAACAGTAATAATGACGTCCGGAGCCTATCCTGTCCACAAAATAGTAACCAGCTTAGATAAGGAAAGCAGTTGATGAAATTAAAGCATGAACAGGACTGAAGGAGGTCTGTGGCTGTAACTCAACTGGTTTTGGCACAGAAAACCCATGAGAGAGGGCAAAGCCTAAAAAGAGAAAAAGAGGAGCTGGAGAAAGCAAACAGCCCGCAAGTTCAATATCTGCCAGCACGAAACTCCAAGCCCTTTCTCCAAGGATGGGAAGCAAGAGGACCATATCTAAGTAAGCATCCTAATTGCATTATTGCTCTGAAAGCTTTCCAGATCATTAATAAAGGGAAATAAAAAGAGGGGGAAGGGCTGTCTGGTGCTGTTCATGTGAATTAGGCTTTAGCAGTCTTTCTTTTTAAAAACACACATAAGAGGAAAAAGAATACATACAAATATATATATATAAATATATATAAAACAGTGGGGAAAAAAGCTGTAACAAAAAAAAGAGGCCTTTAATTAAATAAGATTGCCACACTGGGATCAGGCCTTCATGCTTGTCAGCTTACTCTCAAAATAAACATCTCAAACCTGGGCCTCAGTGGTGTCACTTACTCCGGCAAGGCACACTGGGTAATCCCTCGCTATCTTGACAGCTACATAATGTTCAAACTGTTTCACGGGTGAATGGCGGCACTTGCGCAAAAGAAAATATTAATGCCTGGAATTAATAGAAAAAGGGATGATGGCTTACAAAAGCCAAACAAGGGAAAGGTGTCAAGTTAGTGCGGTGTTAATTGTTAGGGAAAATAATTGTGAGCGGGCATGGGTTTCGGCAACGCTTGGCTGTCGGGCTGTCAGAGGGGTAACGTCTCAACTAGGCAGGCAGGGGAGCGGGGCCAGCAGTGCAGGAGAGCGGCTCCGACATCCTACAAATGACAGAATGGCACCTCTGTGCCAGCAGACAGATGGACCTCAACCTCTGACGTGGCAGCTGGACACGTACCGGGGCTTGGTGGCATTTCTTTGGGCTGATCGAGTTAGGCAGGAAGGCTGGATGGAGTGGGTAAGGCACTGCAGCCCCCTTCGAGGCTTTCAGGGTTTCCCTCACATAGTGTTGGCAATGCTCCTGTATCTCCCTGGGTCACTGCACTTACTTCTGGTGGTCTTTAATATGCCCCAGATTGCTTTCAGGGTGTTCAGCGCAGGGTAAAAGCAGACAGGGGATGAAAAGCGGGGCAGGTGGGGTAGCCATACCTGATGGGATGAATAGCACAGGCTGCAAATTACTGTCAACTGCAGCTGAGCTCAAGGTTTGAAGCCTTCTGGATTCAAGATCAGACAGATATTTGCATCTATTAAATGCTATTAATTAAGGACAATCTACAGTCTATCCAAACAGTAAAGCTTTTCAAATCAGTGCATGGTGATTTATGAGATGAACTGATCTAAACTGATCTAAAAGGAGGATGTTTTAGCTTTCTATTAGACAAAACAGGTGCTCAAGATACTCTGAAGAAGCCAGGCCATTAAAAAAAAAACTTTTGAGAAGTGACCCCCCAGCAAAGGCAACCAAGACAGTTAGCAGAAAAAAGAAAAAATAAAAGGATGACTTCCAAACAACAACCAGCTGATCATTCTACCAGCTAGACCTATTTTTGCACAAGAACATATCAAAAGGGATGCTCACCTCCATTCTTTTGCCTCTCTTATCTCCCACTACAATTACAAAGACACAAGTGCAGGCACAGCAAGCCCCAGCTAAAACCTGAGCAAATTCTGTGAGCCAAAGTGGCTGAGACACAGCAGCAGGACAAGGTTCAGCGGCACAAGAAACTGTTAATGGCGTTTTTAAATGGATACTGCTGCCCTCTAGCAGCCAGCAAGAGATGTGCCACATCAGCCATATTAACAGTATACACCTTTGATCCATAATTAGAAAAAAAAAAAAATAACATCAGATCCCATATGATTTCAAACCACACTCCATTTTACAGCAGTAAACTTACTGGAAATATAGCATATGAAACAAGTTTTGTTACATAAATAAAGTTACCACTTAGTTGCATTAAAATCCTGAAAGCTCAAAGCAAAAACAGTGTGAAACATTGCCCAGACCATTTCAAGTTCTGGTTAAAATCCTACATTTGCATCTTCAGAAGGAAATGAAGGATTTATTTTATATGCACATAAAGAATGGATTTCTTATAATCTTCCTAGAAATAGAATTACTGGAGTTATTTACAACAAGTAGTAAAAGACGTTTTATAATGGAACACACTCTTTAAATGGAGAAGCACTGTCCTTGTAGTGAAATAGCTGAGATCAAGGCTTAAAGGGGAAATCAGGAAGAAAAGAAAAAAAAATGTAATCTGAAAGCAGGAAATCCAGATAATTTTGGAAAGTTTCCTGCACAGCAAATTTTAAGTGACCAGACGGAAACAAAACATTTCTCAAAAACAAGCACCACCAATACACTCCAGGGGAAAATAAACCAAAAAAACTTAACAACATATGAGAAGAATGCATGCAGATCTGTACGTGAAGAAAAAAAAAAAAAAAGAAAGGTAAAATTAAGGATATTTCCAAATGATAGTTAAAAAAATAACCCTTGCAGAAACTGGATTCATCGCAGCAGCACAAACCACTGCAGCACGAGCTGCTGTATGCAGAGCCATGCAGAACCCAGAAAACATCAAAAATGAGTACTGAAGCCATTCAAACCCACAGCGTTTGTAAATTAGTCATGATTAAGCCTTTCAAAAAGAAGTGTGAAAAGTTGCCTAATACATCTGAATAATTAATAAATCTGAAGAGCTAATGATCTAATTGCAGATACCCTGAAAACAGAGAGAATTTAAATTAATCAGTGTGTTTGCAGGGAGTGATTCAGCCTAATTGCTCTGAGCATTTGCTTTCCAAACAATGGATTTATTCTGTGCAAGCCGACAAACCCCTAAGTCTTGTGCAAAGCCATCCAGCACTGCCACCACCGCAGAGCTGGGCAGGAGACAGCCCAGAGCTATGGCTGGTGCAGGTGTACAGCAGGGGTGTTGATGCTTAAACAAGGAAATGTGTGCTACCCTGTCCCCTTTTCTCTCCATTTGCTTTCTTTCAGCCCCTTTAGGTTCTGTGAGGCAGCTCTCAGGTCTCTCCGGAGCTTTCTCTCTTCCAGGCTGCCCCATCTCTCAGCTTGCCCTCATAGTGGATGCATTCCATCCCTTGGGTCATTTTTGTGGCCCTCCTCTGGATGAGCTCCAACAGGTCCATCTCCCTCTTGTACTGAGGTCTCACAGCAGAGTAGAGGGGCAGAATCACCTCCCTTCCCTTCTGGCCACAGCTTTGGATGAAGCCTAGGATACATTTGGCTTTGTGGGCTGTGAAGGCACAGTGCTGTCTCATGTCTGCCCTTTGAGCAGAGATGATGGGATTCAGACAGCAAGCAGACAGCCCCTTCTGCCCTCCTGCAACCTGCACTGCTCCCTTTGTGCAGTCACTTCCCACATTCTACTGTCTGGATCACGAAAGAAAAGAAATGAGAACAAAACCGAAGCATAGCAGCAGGAAACAATCAAACCCGAGAAGAAGAAATGCAATAGGACTGCCAGGGTACAAAGAACTTGCAAAAATCTAGAAAATGCAAAACTGTGCAGAAAAGAGTGAAAAAAAATCTGTTAGAGCAATGCAACTGAGGAAAAACAATAAAGAGAACGACAGAGACTCACCAGCTGACATCACATCTGAGAAATGTATTTCTCATAGCGTGTAACAGAAGTAAACATACGCTCCAAGCCTGAAAATATGGAATTTAGAAGCATGAGGAGCTTCTCACCCTTAAATGCACTCAAAAATATCTGGGTTTTTTTTCGCAGTAGTATAGTGGAGTTTGTCAACAGAAGGAAGGCAACACCTCCCTGCAGCTGTGACACCATCTTGCTGCTCAGCGTCACAATGAAGCTGTCCTGTGGAGCTGGTTGGTCCTACAGATAATAACAGGCACAGCCAGAGCATCCCAGGGCCAGAAGAGACTGTGACATTTCAGAATTTGTTAGACCAAATCACACAAACATCAGGCATCCCTCTGCCAAAGCAAAGTGGAGGAACAAGTAGAAATGGGCTCCACCTCCTCCCAGTTCAAAGCACACAGAGCTGGAAGTCGTGAGCTTCACAGAAATGCACTCAAGGAGGCCATAAAGCTACCAAAAGCACCAACAAACTAACAATATTTGGAACTGGTGGCTTAGAGTGCTTAATATTTTGTCAAAGCCAAATAAAACGTACCGTAATTTTTGCTCCTGCACAACTGAGCAGTGTTGCCCAGATATGCACGTTTCAAAAACAAAACGCATTTTGCTTTGTTACCATTTACAGTATTAAAACTACACAAGTCACAAACTCCTCACCATTACCATTATGTTCCTGGGTTATTAGTAACAAGAACACTACACAAAGTGCACAAAAAGCAAAATGTTGGCATTGGGTTGGTATCCACACACATTCACACTGTTTGGTTCATTAGTTGCAGTCGTAAATAGGGGACGACCCACGTAATCTGCCATGAGGCACAATGTACCCATTGCCACTCTCCAAGCACACCTTCTTGTCTCCTTAGGCAGTCTCTAGTGTATGGCCATGGTGGCCTGTACCCCAAGAAGCATAATTAAGAAGCAAATAAACCAGATTCCGAGAAAGCTGACGGTCAGTGAGCCCCTAGGAGAGGACACTGCAACACTGATCAGGAGAGGGATATATTTGGAGCATCTCTCAGTTCTACCAAGTCAAGATCCTGCTCTACAGTTCTTTCCTCCCTTGGCTTAGATACATAAAGACACAGACAGCTGAAAAACAATGGGAGAGGCAAAAGGTGAAGAAAAAAAACAGCAAGGAGTAGAAGTTAACAGATAATATTATGAAGGTAAATAAAGAGTGAGAAAAATCTGACTAAGTAAAACCAAAGGAAACACGTCCCTAAAAGAGTATGCAGTGAGTGAGAGTTCAGAAGAGTATCTGCAAGGTTTAGAAAAAGTGAAGTCACACCAGTCTTAGAGCAGAACCATTCCTCACCTTCACACAGCCAAGTGCAATTACTGCCTTCATTACAAATGTGTAACAAGCCAACTCAGGGAAGGACATGAACTTGCTAAGAAGAACCAGGACTATCCAGCAACAGCTGTTTTCAATGGCAGAAAGATATTTTCTCTGCCAAACACCTTAGATGAATACATACCTACACACTGTATTAAAGTGCCCAATGCAACTGAAGCCTCTGCCCTGAGGATGGCAGAGGCTGCAGACAAGGCAGCAAACAGGCGGCAGAGGGCAGCAGGGACACACGGAGAGGCTTCTGCTGCTCCTGCAAGCCCCTGAGCCTCAGCAGGAGATGTTCAGGGAGCTGCCAGGGAGTTTACATCGAGGGCAAAAGTGCAGGTGTGAGAACAGGGTAGGGCACCACACAAGTGCAGTTTTCTTTGAGCAAACACAAAGCTTTCCTGAAATATACATCAATGAATTTGATTCCTGCTCAAAGTCTCTTTTCCCCCCAAAGCAATTGCTGTTACTGCAATGACTAAAAGCAGAAATGCAGGCAATCTACAAAACTGATCTAAAGCTGAAGATGCTGGTAATACACTCTTCCTTCAGGCTCTGTTGTTTATATGACAACTTTTTGTCCTTCTGTTTCCATCACTTATCACTTACCACCAAGTATGATCACTGTATGTGAGCCAACGCTGCTGAACTCCTACTCACAAAGCCTGACATCCCTGCTACCTACCTGAGCATTTTTGCAGTTGTTCACATAGCGTTGACCAGAGGATGTTCAAACCCCCCAATACCCACACTAAAACACATGACAGCAACACAGCATTTACCCACTGCAGAGTTCTAGAGAACCCTGCTGCACGTTAAAAGAATACGTGGTGAACAGGGTTTGAAACCATCACACAGCCGTGTCAGACAGCTTTGCTTGGTTAGATCTGGGGGTTTCCTGTTCTCAAAACATGAATGAGCACAGTTTGGCCTCCAGCCCTGGCTCCACAACCAGACTGAAGGATGCACTGGCTGCAGGCAGCATGTTCCTATAGTCAAACTATTGGAGTGGGATATTACACCCCAGCTCAGCTGCCATATCTGGAGTCACAGTGAGGGAAAGAAGGGAAGTTACATTCTCCCAGCCCACAAGTTTTCTGAGGTTTCCTCATGTTGGCTTTGCTCATCTCTCCAACAACTTCCCACTTATAAGAACACACTGCAAAACCACCAGCAGCTAGAGCTCAGACCTACATATCTCACAAAGATCCTGAGTAACCAGTAGGACAGCACAGATCTATATGGAAGTGCATCGGGCATCACCACTATGTTTTCCTGAAGAGGCCACCAACATGACTGTGCCTGAAGTCACTATCAATTGAGTCACTATTTCCTCCACATCCCAATGTCCATTTAAAGAAAATAAAAAAGCAGGAATTTTACTGAATTATTTACCACCTCACAGTCTTCTAAATGAACAGTCACCTGCCACAAAAGTGACAGACCCAAATTGATTTTTCCCCTTGATTATGCTGTTTCACCATTGTACAAAGCTTTGTTAATGCATTTGCACTCTTATGCAGGAAACCACAGCCAAGAGCAAACTGTTCTGTTTTCCACAGAAGCCCTCCTCTACTGGAATTGCTCATTTATAGTATCTTTTCTGTAGAAACAGCTGGATGTGTTCTGGCTTGTGAGGCTTGCTAGTAAAACTGATGAACTGCTATGCTGTCAGGAAGTACGTGCTTCTGTCTGAAGAGTGATGATCTTAATCTAAGTATTCATTCGCTCCCTCCAAAAGCTGGAAGCTAGGAGGGAAAATGTAGCATATGCTTGGCCGAGAGTTACTGCTTGGTGAAGATATGGAAAAAGTTAACTGAGATAACAGAAGATGGAAATCCCAAAAGCAAGCACCCATATGAGGTTAATTAACCCACATAGATAGATTCTTCCAGATGCAAAACCTCGCAAACCCTCACAAGCCAATGGCTAGTTCAAGCTTATCTACTTTAAACCTGTATGAATAAACCCTATTCCTTCATCTCAAATCGTAGTTGACGTTAGACAGGGGGTAGATTTGGTTTACACCCCTACTCTCACAGCTACCCTTTCACTAAAATCTTCACAGATAACCCAAAAAGCACTCCTAGAGCACACTACTTCATTTATCGCATTCCAAAATTTTTACTTTTTTAAGCTTAATTAGAACTTCTCAAGATTAATGACTGCAGGTGCTAATTACAACAAGGGAGGGGTTTTGCAGCTGCACAATCAGGCAGCAAACACAGGGCAGCTCCCTCCCCTGTGTATATAAGGTGGACAAACCCAGGTGTTGAGTGCTCTGATCTGGACAGAAGTCAACAGCTTGTTGCATCAGAGATAAGAAAAGAAGCTGACGGTGCAAAGTGCAGCAGAACTCAAGTCAGGGAAAGCACAGTGGTGCAACTCTTAAAAGGAAGCAGACGAAAGGTGTGGCTCACCGCAGCGATCTCTGATAACCAGGTTTCGGCCTTCTTTCAGGTGGATGGTCAGCAGGTAAGCAAAGGGGCTGGGCAGGTGGCTCAAACCATCACTTCCTTCCTCTGCACCCTAAAATGAACAGAGAAATCAATCCCTGCTGCACGCCTCACCAGGCAGACACATGAACAGAGCAGGTCTTCTCACAGACCTTCTTTCAATGGGGAAACCTTTACAGTGCACTTGTCAGAAGAAGAAATAAAGATGTTTTTCTGAGACTTTGCTTCATTATGTAAATAACTAAGTATCACTGTCAGGTAAACTCACAAAGCCAATGAGGATTACACCCGAAAATGGGTTGTGACAGTAAACATCATAAATGCATGAACAGGATTTCCAAATCCTAGAAACTTTGTGCATTTTATTTTTCTAGCTGCCTCTTCCTTGCACATTCACAATCAGGTAATGAACTCATGAGGATGTACACACTTCATAAAGCTACTGAGCAGACTTTTTATATAGCTCTAGAAGATACAGAAGCAGCAGTGGGCAATGCTACTTATGAAGTTTTGTCATAGCAAACTCAGTAATTCTTGTTCAGAGTTGCTGCCAGTGTTATATTCCACATCCCCACCACCACCCAACTGGCATGTTTGGTGAAAGCAGCCACTGGATAGCCCTGGGGAGGTTAACAGAGAACAAAAGCAAAGAAATTCTTTCAGAAACAGCAAACACATTTCACATCATGATGCACGTGTCACAGCTGTCAATGCCTCTTCACGCTATCATAAAACTGTCATCTATTTCTTAAACCCTTTATCCACGTTAAGGCATTTGAAGTCTTCACTGTGATGCAGTTTATTACTGGGACACTGGTTTAGTATTTAAGCCGACACTTTCATCAGTTATTCACCACAGAACATTTCACAAAATTACAGAACACTCTATTTAAAATATTTGTGTCTTGCACTGCCACTTCCATCTTGCCTGTTTCGTTGGATTTTTTTTTTTGTGGTTTTCTGTTTATTTTTCATCTGTAAGAAGCAAAGCAGCAAAGGACCTGAAGCTAAAAATATTTGTTTCCATTAAACAGTCTGATCAGGTTAAAGAACTTACCATCTGGTCATCAAACATTTGAGAAGATACTGATGACTCTAAATCCATTCCTCCACATTCCTATAAAAAACCAGAAGTACAAAGAATTAGACAACAGTAACATAAGGAAAATAAGAAAAAAAATAAGAAAATTCTCTTAATATCCTTCAAGTCTTAATATTAGTGAAGAAAACCCCTCGTAACCATTTAAATTATTTGTTAAAACATATTTATACTTCTGCACACAGGCTACCAAATAATTTGGATGGGAATTTTTTTTCCTTGTTTTACAGTGATTGCACACTTAATGTGACCTTCAGGGTGATCTAAAAATTAAGTGCTTGCTTCTAGTGATTGGAAGAAATTCTCCACAGTAGAAGAATGTGCTTCCAGTGCTGAAAGTCCTTAACAGAAACTTCTGATGCCTGAAGGTTACTGCATCTGGTGACCCACCAGTTGAAGTTGCAATGTGGACCCATATTCCTGGACAGAATTCAATTTCTTGAATCTTCAAGTTTCCTCTGTAAGATGAAATAGGAAAAATTCCAAAAGCCATGGCAGCAGCAAAGATATGCTGGAGCTGGACAGTGGGTGGTACCCTCATATCACTCCCATTTTTCTTTAATTGCCAGTAAGTTAGGGTCTAAGACATGTTTTCTACAAAATCCCCTTTGTGTGTTTTGATTTAGTACCCTCTAAACATTTGGCTTATACTCAGTAACTCAGCTATACAGGTATACAACATGTGTAACTCCAAGGGATGGAAAGACCATAAAAATACTAATAGTAATAACAATAAATAGTCAAAGGGAAAGGGGGAAAAAAGATGCTGGATGTGTACTTCCCCACATTCTGTAGTAACTGGAAGTCTCAAACGATTGTTATTAGAGCACATTAGAGGAAGTCAAACATTTCCGCCTAAAACTGACTCACACAAAAATTTGAAGCCATGGTGGGATGGTGTCTAGACTGCTTGGACACACAAGGGGTTCACTCCATAGTAAGGACACCACTGATGCTATTTTGACTTCCAGGACAGTCTACCATGGTCACTTACACTGAAGAGGATCTACAGGCAAAGAGGATCTACATGCAGGGGCAACTCTTTGGTTTAATACAAGGCAGTCACATTCAAATTCAAATGGCAGTCCATTCAAATGCAGGAATTTTCTGTAAGAGCAACCACTTCACTCTACAGAAACGCACACAAAGTGGAATTTGATCCCCATGTGAAAATGCTATTGCGTGCAGTGTGGTAGCATCCACATCTCTCTGATGAGAGCTGCATTGAGTTGAGCAGTATACAAAGAAAAACAGAAGCAGCTTCTGGATCACACATAAAACCGAGATATATTGACATGCTAAAATAAATACAAGCTTCTATGTAATTATTCTTTCCCTGTTCCCGAATACATACATTACATATCAGGAAGCACAATACTTCTGTACTGCAAGTAAAATTTTACTCGCATGACAGACGAAATTTAACATTATGGTTCCCATAGTAATCATAACTTGGCCACCTTGCAAAAACACATTAGAAGTAGAAAAATTATTATCATAAAGAGCAGCAGCAGAGTTTCCTTGCACAACAGAGCTGAGTTACAGCTGCTAGGGGAACCCTAACTTGGAATATCCTGACTAGTATGCATAAAATCTCACTTGTGTGTATTAAACCAAGTACTTCTATAGTAATCTTTGGCTTCACAGGAATCCCCTACAGGCACCATCATTGCCACTGATAATACTTTCGCTTCACAGCTTGTTTTGCATTGCATAAACACAGAATCAAAAATACATGTATTTTTTTTTCATTTTATCTTCATATAGTGTAAAGTGCTATTATTCTAGGTAGCTGATTGCAACAACATCACCAAATAGAGATGAAAGTTCAGCTGAAAATACATGCCTGAAATCTTGATTTTAATTAACCACAGAGACAATTCTGAACTTAAATATGAACAAATGAGGCCACATTCACCAAGTGGGTCATAGTCCCAAATGTGTCTGTGTGCAAAAGTAAAACAACAGCACACGCAAGAATACATACAAAGCAACCAAACTTTTCTCCTGACTGGGCTACAATCTTTACCATCTCCTGTTTGGTGTGGAAGAGTGATTCAAAGCACAAGTTCATCAAGTGCATGGGTGGGCGGACAGGGCTTGGGGTTGCTAATGACACACAGCAAGTGTTAGAAGATGAAGAAATGGTGTTAGTGCACTGCAGCAGTGATGCACGACCACAGGCAGAAAGCGTCCATAGAAATGCCATTATCTCATCTGCAACCCGAGCAAATGAGGCAGGGGTTAAAGGCTACGTCAGTAACTCCTTCACCCTTCCAATTTGTTTAACTTGCTGCAACAGAGGATAAAGTAAGTAAATCTCTTAGCAAATTCATATGTGGTGCGTGTAGGAGAACCTTTGCTGACGACGGAATACCCCCTGCACTGTCAGCTCCATGCTGAGCATTTAGAAGACTGAAAACCACAACTCCACACTGAGCTCGTGAGTGAGGCTCAGGAAGTATCTCACGCTATTGGGTGACCAAAGGAAACCAGGAAATGAGTGGGTGGCATGTGACAAGCAATTCAGGGGGAAAAAAGCTCAACCTACATCTTTGCTTTTTTTAGTTTGTTTTGTTCCAGGGATCTGCCTTCCTTTTGATTTACACCTCGCTGCTCAGTAAAGGCTGCTCACAAAAGAATGAGTTGATTGTTGTGCTCTCTACAGCAACCTCAACTAGTAGGTATGCAACATGCTGTTTCAACCTGAGGCACACCGAGCACGGATTTTGTGCCTGTTCAGTCACGTAGAAGAGCTAAACATGAAAAGATTGACTTTAGTATTCCTTATCTGTTTCTACATTCACTTGCTTCATCTTCTTCTGCATTTAAAAGTTGCTACTGGAGGCAGATAACAGATAGAAAGGCAGCGTATTCACACAGAGCAATGGTTTGGTATGAAACTAAATATTAAAATGTTTATATGCATAAACACACACACGTACACTGGGATTGATTTTAATGCTACAGAGAATAAGACAGATTGCTCTGCATCTGGAGGAAACTCATCCTGAAGTTAATCTATCCCATCACTACACAATTGCCACCTTCTGCTGAAGCACTTAGCTCACCCAAAGTCAAGCAGGTTTCGGGATTACTTTTGGCTCTGCTGCAAATACACTCAATGAATATTAGCTCAGAATCTGTTGGTCTTTAACAGCAGGAAAGGATTGCTGATATCGCTACAACAGCATGGAAACAAACTCCTAAAATGACACCACGTCCATAGTCTCCAGACAGCTGTATATGCTGATTAACCTGAGATGCCACTATATGAGGTACTGCAAAGAAATGTAGAATATCCTGAGTTAGAAAGGACCCACAGGGGTCACCGAGTCCAACTCCTAGAAATAAAGTTACATACTATTTTAGCTACCTTTAATGCAGACAACAGAAAGCCAGCAAGCCAACAAGTTTAAAATTTAGTAACCAGAAGCCACAGTTGCTGGCTACTTATGGGATATGTTGTATCACAGGAGGCTGGTGCTAGCTCTGCTTCAACAGGAATGCACAGACCTTCGAGATGCAGAACAAGTGGTTTTCTACCAGCTAAGATCAATTTCCCTTGATTTTGAATGCAGAGCTCAAAAGATAAATTTGCCTGTGAAATCACCAATCTCAAAGGAGAGCTTTACAACAAAATATGTCTTTCATTTTTGCATCTCAGATGACAAAATCTGCCATCCCAGTGACAGTCCAACTATGGGAAAACGGCCTAGAAACATAGCTCAAAATCTAACCTTTCTAGTGATAACTCCATTGGAAGAGATACATTTCCACAACACAACCAAAACAAATTCTGGCTAAAATGTTTCAGACAACCATCATGCACCTGCAGATTCCCCACTTCAGGTCAGGCAGGATTTACTGTTTCAGGACAACTTAGATGAGGATCCTCCAGCTCCAGAGGCACTGCTACAGAAGCACTGACCACAAGGGTGGTGAGAAAAAGATGTTATTTTTTTTGCTGCTCCAGACTGACAGAATAGATGCTGAATATCATAATATCATGGTTGGTTTATGCTCTTTTTTTTTTTCCCCCCTTACTCATTCCTGGCACAGGGCGCCCTTCTCCATCCTTTTATAATCCACTCAAACAAGCCCCACGATGGCTGCTCAGTGTGGCTAATTCCAAGCCCCTTACCTCCATCATCTCATTTGCCAGCTCAGTGCTCAGGTGGGCTCTCTGCAGCAGCTCCAAGAAGTCATCACTGGACGGTCGCTTCCCCTCGGACACAGGGCTGCCTGCCATAGGCACATCCAAGTGGGCCACAGCTGGCTCCGTACACGCAGCTGAAGCCTGCAGCCACGGCCAGTCCTCTCCCTCTGGCCTCATCGATGAGTTCCTTCTTTTCAGAGACACCATAGGCCTGGGGGCACCACGGGGGTAGCCACTGGACAGCATCTGAGTGCTTGAATAGGTTGTTTCTTCTTCCGTGAGAGTCTCCACCTCCAGCATGTCAGGCACCGACACGCTGAGGCGTCGGTCCAGGGAGCGGATCTTGCTCACCACCATCTTGCTCGACCTCTTCTTCGTCTTCCTCACGCTTAAGTTTTGCAGGAATGGCCTCGTCCTCTGCTTCAGGGACCCCCAGACAGATGGTTTCTCCAAGTCCATGGCTGCACATGGAACCTCAGCAATGCCTCTGGTACAAAGCAGCATCAGTGATTCCTGGGGGTGATTAAAAAGAATGTAGGAAGAAGGCAAGTCAATCACGAGAACAAACAGCAGTTGAAGATTATGATTCATGTTGCATCATCTTAAAAACTTTCAGTCATTTTTCTAAGCGGTAAAAAGAAAGCATGGCACAAAGTATTAGTAAGTGCTTCCCAGTGAAATCTGGTAGGTAGGTTTAATTGTTGAGGGGGAAAACAGAACAAGTAATTAATCCTACACTAAAATGCAACGCCTGTCCTCTGTTTTATGACTGCTAAGAGGAGATACTGTTTCAATTATTCTGCCAAGTGCCAACTGGCAAAAAATTGGTGATTAATCCCATTTCAAAATGTTTCTGTACGAAACTTACTGATGGGAGTTGAATCAAAATAACGCTAGCACACAAAAAAAGGTGGCAAAGCTGACATTGCAGTTTCTGATGATGATTTTCCAGGCTATGCACATCTTCTTTGCTACTTCATAAGCTATGAGAGTTCCTACGTGACTTACAGGTGGATAAGAGCAACACAAAAATCAGCTCCACAAAAAAAGGGACTGAGGCAGAAGAGACTCCCGATGTAACATCAGAAAATCCACGTAAGACCTCAAAATATTCTCTTTTGTTAAAGCGTTCTCAATGGAAGTCACCTCTGCACAAGTAATATTCCTCATAAAGAAGGAGGTTGAGAGAAAACAAGGACAGAAACAAACAGAAGGAATTAAAGATTCTGAAAAACTGCTGGTGGACTCATCTCTCATCTATACCTGCAACGCTGATGGGTGACGAGAAAAAGATTCAAACCAAAATCACTCACTGAATCTGCATTGTAATGCAAAGGTCAAACGGATGCCTCTGTGCACAGGAATATCCTCAAGGACAGGGTCTTCCGTGGCTGATAGATGAACAACCATCCTTATTCTGAAAAGCAGAAAGTCGAATCATCATCCAAACTCATTAAGAAAAATGCTAATGAAACCTTCAAGATCTGCTCTTTTACAGTCTCTGATGACACATGTAACACAGCTTACTTCACATACCTGCATCAATAGCAATGTATACTCATTAACTTCATGATTGCTGCTTACAAAGCCCACAGCACATTTAAATACACACAGTTGAACAAACTGCACAGTTTACCAAAATTAACTTAATCCACTATTATCCTGATTGCTAAGGAAAACATCAGAATGATCAGAAAGCAGAAATACAACTGTGCATAAATTTAGATAGAGAAACCACTGTCTGCTCTCTAAGACATCTACTCTTACATTTCATTAATTTGAAGGTTGCATTATTAACTAATTTAAATTATGTTATGACTATCCTCACCATTCTTGCAATGTTTGGGCATCCGCAAAAAATTATTTTCCTGCATTGTTATGCAACCAAAACTATACAATCATCATAGAATTATACAATCCCTCCTGCCTCCATCTGTGTTGCTCTACTGATGCTCTCATCCATACTGCTTGCTATAGAATAGTTATATTCAATACAAAAAATAATAAGCTATTACAGCACTACATGCATGCAACTCATCAGTCTCAGAGTTTGTCCATACAGGAGTGTGTGCTGGAATACATACATTGGCTAAACACAGTAGTTTCATCTCTAGCTCCTGCAGTCAGGCCCAGCATCAAAGCACATATGAACAAACTGGAATTATTTTTTCCTCACAGCATCTCTGAGAAGCAAAACCAACGCTGAAGCACCCAGATCCCCATGCAAGTTCACCAGAGACATGGCTCAATTTGCTCACCTTGGCTGACAGCTTCCTCTTTCTTCCCTCTCTAGATAAAAAATTCATAAAGCAGTTACAGGCCTCCCTGGTAGCATTTCATCACATAAGAGAAATCATTAGGCCAAACATTTGCACAAAACATTATGAAACACTACTGCTGGGACTCATTTAAACAACTCCATTAATGCCAGCACTCCCTATGTTGTTTATCTACATGCACAAAACCTGCCAAAGTGAATTCAGCGTAAATAAAGGCAGGACCCAGCTCACAACACTCACCTCCCAAGGTTCTTGCTGCTTCCCATTCCCTTCCTGTTATTCTCCACCCTCCTCAATTTGACGACCCACTGCTATGGTTTTTACTCTGTTTGCTTAGAGATTTTGTTTCCTAGCAGCACTCCAGTTCCTGTAAGTTTTACGCAGTTCCATTCTTCTAGGTTTTTTTCATGCTACACAAGTCCACTCAGCAAGGATTGCACGCAGGAACCACAGTATGAGTCCCACTTGCATTCAACCCACCATGAGCAAATTATTCCCCAGGGCAGAAAAACCATGGTGGAGGGAAAAAAGAAAAAAAAAAAAAAAGGGAGAAAAAAAACATAAAAAGTTTTGTGTTTTTTTTTTTTTCCAGGACAGCAGCAAAGATGCTCCAGCATCTGCCACCAAGCAGTGCTGGCAGTACTTGCTGTGTAAGGAAAGCAGAGGGATGCCTGAAGTGAGGCCAGAGAAGCTGTTTAGCCAAACCCTGCACTGCCAAGAAGTTTGGCCATATTCCACCCCTGAATCCACACACCCACACGCCTGCTGTAACTGGCACTTTCATTTTATAAACGCTGTCATGACGAGCAAATTAATCCAAATGACTGTTGTAAAGCACAAATGAAAAAATTATTTTGCAACACCAAGTGTCCTGGTTTTAGAGAAAACCAGCACAAATACAGTCTGAAGTGCAAATTCAGTCTGACATCTGCCAGATGCAGACTGGCACTTTTTTCACTTCCCCACTTCATACAGGAAAAAAAAAAAAACCAAAACCAACAACAAATAAAATCACCCCCAAGAGCAGAAACTCATTCCCCAGAGAGAACAGGGCAAAGTGAGGGATGGGGACCACCACACAACCCAACCTGGTACTGGATCCAGAAGTACCCCATGCCCAAAAAGCACACGCTGACTTGCACAACTGTTGCTTCTATTGAACATGGGATTACATTGCTAATAAATCCAGTCCATTCTCTCTTCCTCCATCAGTCTTCCTCTATTTTTCTTTCCCACGCTGAGCAGCATCAATAAAAAACAAATTTTGTAGAGAAAAATTGCCCATTTCTTGTAAAAGCACACTCTCCATGTCAACGTGTTGCTCACTCACATACTCCTTATCTGCCATAGGCCAGAAGCTTTTCCTTTTCCTTCCACCCTCTCAGAAGTTCAGTGCCAAGCTTATCTCCAAAATAGCCCCTAAGCACCCATGGGGAGGCTCTAAGTACAGCCTCTATTCCTTCCTTGTATCAACGGCACATTGTACCAAAAAGCTGCAAACGATCATTCAGGGAGAAACATTTCCTGTTATCAATGTTAACTTGGTTGTTTTTAATTGAATGGCTCCTTGCTCTTATGCAAGAAAAAAATAAATTAAAAAAAAAAAAAAAAAACATCTTTTTAGCCTATCTTCTTCAGTGTATTCTGTAATATGCTGCTAAATCTCAGAGGGTCAGAGTAATCCATATATTTTAATCCCTTCCTTCATAGAGACCACTCCAGACTGCACCTGTCATTTTTATTACATCTTGTTCTTTTGCTTCATCATCTCCTCTTTTGGGGCCAATGGGGACTAGGGAAAAAAAAAAAGATTAATAACATAACAACTGGTAACGGCACATCGTCTGACTGTTATAGTGAGTATTTCTAGCTGTTCATCTTCCCTTAAGTACCTTCTGATCACAGTCCTCTGGTTTACTTTTTCCTTTTTTTAAAATAATGCCTTTTGCTTTCTCTCCCAGTAGCACACACTACTTACTCCCTTAAGTAGTTACAATATTCAGAGAGAAAGCATTCTTCAGACGTTCTAACAGGAGGCTCCAAGAGAGATTTCAAAAGTTATTGCAAATATAGAGAAATCATCTTGCATTTCAGCTTCACTTACAGTCCTGTCGGGAAGCCAGAACTGGGACACAAAACCAAACTGATTTACATACTGGAAATCACAACACATTCCTGCTCTTCTCCTTAAGTAACCACACTCTGCACGTCAAAAGTACACAATGCTCATTGAAACACCCCTGAAACACTCCCTGCCAGAGTGATGCACCCTCAAAGCCAGCAGATAGATCTGAGCGCAGCCAAGCATGCCACCACCACAACCTCCACAAATCTGGGAGTCATTGTGCACAGCTGACTTCCCTGGTTGAAGTCAAGAAGTTGGGTCAGTCTGCATGCCGTTAATCATCACAACGCATGGGTCAATCAGTGTGTTTTCAGCTGCAACTAAATGCTAGCCAACATTTAGACCCTCAATAGCTGAAACCAGCAAGACGTGCTAGAAGCTGCGAGGAAGATGTTCTTCAGTTGCCTACATCTTACCATATGTTCACACTGCATGATAATAATGGAACTCCCTTGCTATATAATCTCTGTCGATTCTGCCATAGGGTGCTCACCCCAATCTCTGCCTGCCTGGCAGGCACTGCCAAGAAACATAACATCACAGTTTTCCTACAAATACCGGTAACCAGAAAATAAACTATTTCTCCCTGAGGAAAAAAAAAAAAAGAAAAGAAAAGATGAGGAAACAGCTCTCTGCTAGCTAAACAACAACTGAACGCTCCGGGCTGTTATTCCAGCAAAGTACCTGAGTCCTGTATGAACCATTACAACCAAGAGCAGAATCACTTCAGAAAAAGAAACCTATGCTTTCTTCTTTGCAGTGGCTCCTTTCGGTTGCTTCTTTGGAAATGCAGCACTTAACCATAAGCATCGACTGCCATAGAGATAAGAAAATATTTATCTGTACATCTAAACAAAGCCACAGAACATCTGCACATCTCTTGGGTTATCAAGAACTTCAAGCACTGGGGCTTCTTTTGCAGAGAAAAACAAGTCCAAAACAGAAATCTGATCGAGGTGGGCTTAAGGCCTTTCACCTGAGATGACTGCACAAGCTAGAGAGGGTCACTGTATTGGATACGTACATGACAATATACAACAAGTGAGACACATCTTTCCTCCTGCATCCACACCCTGCAGTGCAGGGTAAATACCTGATTTTAAATTTGTGACAGCACCAGAAGTCTAATCTCAGTCTGATTCTGCACAGGCTAATTACCCTGGGGAAATCAGTATCAGAATTATTTTTAGTACTAACAAGCATCAAAGGGAGCACACTGCTAAAGTGTAGCTAACATCTCCACTGCACACGCAGCTGCAAAAGCAGAGTCAGGTCTTGGCCAGCTCCCAAATCTTGCCACTGTGTTTGGATTCAGGTTTCCCTTTCAGGGCTTCAGATAACACAAGTCCATCCATGTCAATCTGTGCTACTGTTACAGATTCATTGGCAAAGCACACCAGGATGCAGAATTTTTAAAAATATGACCTGATGATGCCAAACTCATGCTCACAGAAGACAATTTTGTTAACTGAATGCTTGAATGGAAATAAGATAACCAAAGGAAACTTACTCTCTCGATACAAGGAAGAATCCTACGGTTTTTGCTGCAGAAGGACATAGAACTAAAGCAAAACACAAAGCTTAAGAAGAATGTTTGTTCTGTGCAATCAAGGCATCTTGAATAAAACTCTCCTTAATTATGGTTGTTGGTTTTTATGTTGTACCTCGATCCTCCTCAGATCCCACACGGTTTTCAGGCTCTGGGTATCTGGATCCCATGCCTGGCTTTTCATTTCTCAATTTGCTCAAACACTATCAACTCCATCTTAACAAAACCACAAAACGAGCACGTATCTTCCTCCATTTCTGATATGAAATGAACAAGGATGTTCCAACTCCATTGCACAATCTGCAGAGCTTTCATCTGACCATTTACAAGCAGACAGTAAGTAGAAGTAACAGACCCACCAGCTGCTTCAAGCACCTTAAGATAGTACCTGATAGTGAAAGCTGCTGAAGAAAAAAAAAAAAAGCCTGCACCTGACTACAGCTGTGTAAGTACTGCTTTCGGTT